TGATACGATTACAAAATCGATCATCGACCTGTGGCCTAGACTGTCCTGGTGCCACGTGCACTTTTGGACACTCTTATGTTCGAACATGGTGTTCGTTATGGCCAATCTGTGGTTTCAGTCCAATAACAAAATACAGCTCAGGTTCAGATCCGGGAGGCCGTTTCTCCCAATCACGTCCTCCCAGGTCTCACTATTTTTGTTCAGTGTATAAAAAATAATAATTTCCCACTCGCCCTTCAAGCTTACCAGAGGCCGGGAGCTCGAGGGTGCTGCGCAGTATCTTAGCTGTTTCTAGGACTGGGCTCTTCTGGACAGAGATCTCTGATGTTGTTCCCAAGCCTGGGAGTCACCGCACCTAATTCTCCAATTACCACTGGGACCACTGTTACCTTCACCCTCCACATCTTCTCTAGCTCTTCTCTGAGCCCTTGGTATTTCTCGAGCTTCTCGTGTTCCTTCTTTCTGATGATGCTGTCATTCGGAACTGCTACATCAATCACTACGGCCATCTTCTTCTATTTGTCTACCACCATTATGTCTGGTTGGTTAGCCATCACCATTTTCTCTGTCTTTATCTTTAGCTTGTTAGTCTCGGTAATAGTGGCTGTATGTATAGTCCGTAATGCTGTATTCACATCATCACAACACACATTGCTTCACATATGAACATAGAAATGTGTGTGAAAAAGAGCTGAGCTGACATTAAACACGATGGAGAATTTATTCACAAACACTGAGTCAAAACAACATTTACACACATTACCTCTCTGCAGGAGGACACATGCCTGACTTAAAGTTAATAGCAGCATCTTTAGAATTGTCACTCTGTAAGGACACAAAGCTGGGTAGCGGTCCAGGTTGGTTCCTGTAAATAATGATGGAGCAGTGATGTGAGTGCTGAGCTGTGGCATGGAGAAGAGTCATGGACAGTTAGAGATGGTCATCTCACCTCTGAGCTTTGGTCTGGCTCTCATGTTCCCCACACAGAGTGGTTTTAGAGGGAGGGACTCCCTCCCCTCTGTCCTCACACTGATCCATGCTGCTGAATTCACATCAGCTCACACACACTTTCTACCTTCACCTGCAGAGGAAACACAAATCATTCATGTGCACATCAACTGAGAGCTGCAGAGGTCATGTCTGATGGACTAATATCCCCTCCATCTGAGACACAGCTTTCATCAGTTCACTACAAAATGTGTCACAGAGCCAAGTTCAGCCTCCAAATCCCTCATTACTGTAGTCCTACAAAGCAGCAGGTCAAACATGGCTGCAGAGAGCAGCTTTATGTCAGCAACAAAGTCCAGGACCAAGCTGAGTTAATAATCTAACTCAGGGGTATTAAACTAAAATTTGAGGAGGTCCAGTTGGAGAAAATCTTCTCAAGCAGAGGTCCGGGACATCATAATGTCTAACTTGTGTTATGATTTTGATAGAGAAGCAGCCTTTTTTTTTTTTTAAATCAATATCTGAACGTATGAACAATAGACTGTCAAATCAATGAAAATACAAGTTAAAAACATTTCAACAAAATTTATTGTTAACACTGAAACACACAGTAAGCCTACATTAGATATAGGGCTGCTGTTTAAAATGAATTAGAGAAAATAAATAAAATGTTAAAATTGTGCATCGTAAAACAAAGTTCTTAATTTCAGAAAAAAAAATAGCAGCAGCTTGAGTTTCCCTTTTTCTTTCCCTTTTACCTGTCGACTTAACAGTCTCAATACATTTTCAACAGATAACATCAAAACAGCTTAACAATTTTACAGTTTCTCTTTCTTTCCCCCTTATATTCCACTTCCCCATTTTCTGTTGTTCAGTGAGAGAATTGAGCTTTAGTTTGCTCTACTAGGATTTTAAATCTGGGCTGGAATGGTGTCA